CTTTTGTCTCTCTCTGTAAATGTAATTTTCATCCCTATTTCTTTTTAACATATTAAATGAAGAAAGTTTTAAAAGATTATTTTTTTTGAAAAAAATATTGCTAAGTGTATTTAATGAGATTTATTAGTATACAAAATTTTGTCAAAAAGTATTTTATAATTTAAGAATGAGGGATTATAATTTTTTAAAAAAATATTAATATTTTAACTATTTTTTAAAAAAATTATTAAGTACTACCCCACCATCAATTATAAGACAATTTTAAAAGTATTTCGTTATTTCAAAATATATGACAATTTGATAAAAATAAAATTTTATCATTCATACTTTTCCAATATTAACTTCAAGATGAGAGAGAGAGTTAAAATGATCATAGTATAGAGATTAAGTGAATATAAGCAAAGTTATGTTAAACAAAAGACATTTTTAAAAGTTTATACTGCTATTTTGAAAAAGTAAGTTTACAGAGCATTATTATTTAACTTTATTAATATGTATAATCTTGTTTCAAATTGTTTTATAACTTGGAACAAAAAGAGTAGTTAGCAATGTTATATATTATAGCAGCCAAACTAGAAGGATGATTGAGTTTGGGCAAGTCAAACTTATTTAAGTTAGGATCAATTTGAGTCAAGCTTGTTCAGATTAGGCTTTGAATATCCTATTATATAGAAAAAGTTCATATAGTCAAGCTTGACCCTAATCACTCAAGCTTTTGAGTTAGCTTGAATACACAAATTATTAAATATTATTTTATTTTAAATCTAATTTCAATTTTTATTTTTAAAAAATTATATTTTCAATTTTTATATTATTTTTTTAATAATAAAAAAATTAGGTATTTAGGTTCGGGCTTAGTCCAAATTTTTTTAATTTTATTTGAGCAATTCGAATAAATTTAGAGTAAAAAGAATCTTTTAAATCTATAAATCTAGCTTTAAAATTTTTTAAGTTTATTGAATCCAGTAACTTGCCTCATATCACTAACTTCAGGGAGCACTGATTATCAAGCAGAATACTGGAGTTTAAAAGGACAAAAGGAGGAAAATTCCATGGAAGCGTTTTCTTAGAAATTGCCTTAACTCAATCGAGGGTTAGTAATACGTTGATTATCGTGACCAAGAAATTTTGTCGAGTCAATGGACTTGATCACGTGGCATTATTGGACAAAACCTGCCATTTGTGTTCATAATGCATGTATGATGTATCTTCTGGTTAAATAAGGAATATACATTATAATGTCATGAGTTCCAGAGAATATTAACGTGATGGTTAGATGATGACACGCACACTTGAAATAGCGGAAAATGAGTGCGTACAGTCCATGTGAACCCGTTTGCTAAATTGATCGTTGAAATGTTTATATATTGGTTGGCGGTGTGAAAAGGTAGATTTTGTGTTTCCAAGGGCGTGTATTGGACTTTAGATTGGACCAACACATGGGTGGAAACCAGCTGGTATTTTCATGATCGCACCAATCATTGACATTATTGCCCATGAATAATCTGCGTTTCTTGATCCCAAACAATCTATTTTGCTTCGTAGATATCTGTGCAGAAAATTTTCTCCATCACGCTATTCTTCATTAATTACCACAACCCATCTCATTTCAACTAATTTTAATTTAACATATAAATAATTTGGTATATATAAAAAAAATTCTCCATTTTTCCTTTATAATTAAGTAAGTATATTTCTCACTCATTATAAAATATATTGGTAATCAAAATTACAGATAAAATAAGAAAATAATATATACTCTATTCATTTAAAAATATAAGACATTTTTAAAGAGTTAGATGTTTAAAAATGTAAGACATTTTTAGTTTTTTAAGGTGTAATCATTATTTTTTTAAGTGTCCTTATTAATAGTGACTTTATATTTATTATAGAGTGTTTAATAGGGTGAATATAAAAAGATAAAATTAATTTAAAATAGATAACTATTTTATTAAAAATAATATTCAATTAAAAATATTTTATATTTTTAAATAGAGTGAATATATTTTTTTTGTAAGAATGAGAAATTTATTAATATGCAGGTTTTTCTTAAAAAACCGTTTATATTTTGGATCAGATGAAGTACTGTTGCTCTAATTTGACCATTAAAATAGGTTTGACCTAAAGAAAAATGCCAAGCACGAAATTTCACATCGATCAGAAATTAGCCAGGCAAGAGGAAAATTAAATGCCATAATATTAGTCACGTGGCATTATTTACAAATGAAAGAAACTTTTAAATTTAGGGAGAATGGCTGAAAGAATTAATTAATTCAATTTAAATTTTAAGTGTTAATGTTTAAAAATTTACAAGTTTGACTTTTAATTCTATAATTTTATTGTGATGAATTTATAATTTATTTTTTAATTTTTTTTTTAAAATTTAAAAAATAAATTATAAATTCATCACAATAAAATTATAGAATTGAAAGTCGAACTTGTAAATTTTTAAAAATTGACACTTATTTTTGAGATCTTTTTGTCACTCTTCCTCAAAATTACTTGTTTTTAAAACCATAAATTGTATTCTAATATAATGAAAGTACCTCAATCATGAACTTACAGTGTTATCGTAGAGACGTACGATTAATTTATTCTAATGCAATGTGTGTTATCATAAAAACAGGAAACAAGATATCTCACACTAGCAAAATGTGAGATGACTCTTTTATATATGTATATATGCTAACTAATGCCATGTGTGTAGATGTTAGGGCTCATTCATATCATGGACTTGCAAGGTTATTGAGGTGTTGTCCTCCTTAGCTGGCATTTATCTTGATTAGTTTTGCCTTGCTTTACTTTCTTAAACGATCATGCCAGAGTCCAACCCAATTTTATTCAAGTAAAACTAATAGGAATAAATATACATATTGCTACTGAAGTATTCTTTAAAGAGTATTAAGCACATTAAATTATTAGTTGAAATAATCTTGTCTCTAAAGTATTTAAACCAAAGCATTTTTGCATTTGTTGTTAAATTTTTAACTTTGATCACTGGAAAATACTAATTGGAACTCCTATTTTTGACCATTGGGAAATTTAATAAAAAAGGCAAAAATGTTCTGTTTTAATTACTCTAAACATAAAATTATTTTTATCAATAGTTTAGAGTGTTGGGTGCTCTTCAAAAAATATTTTAAAAATAAAAATATACTTTTATCCAAACTAATATATTCTATCAGAAATGAATATTACTAATATTTTTATTTTTTATTGTTCATATTATTTCATTTTTTAAAAAAATATGTGATTTTAAAATAGATTTTGTAGTACAACTAGCTCGACTTAACACTAGAATGAGTGGTGATCTTTAGAGGGAACCAATTTAAAAACTAGGTAAGATATTGAACTAAAAAGGTTAATGATTCATGATTCACATGATCCAGTCGAATTGGATCAATAGTCGAATTGGTGATGTAATAATTAAATTAAAAAATATATATATTTAATAATTTAAATATAAGAAATAACAATAAAATTTCTATTTAACTTAAAAATAAAATTAAATATTTTAAATTTATCATAACTTAACAAGTCATATGATACAATATAACATTAAATGATTAAAAAAAGTGATCATTTTTTAAAAAAATTAAAAAAAAAGAAACAGGGCATTTTTTAATAGCCTAATTTTAAAAATTAGACCTGATTTTTGATCTGATCGTCAATTCAAAGCGACCCAATTCTGCTTAATTGCCCAAACAATTTTTTCAACTCGACTAAGCCATCAACATGACTGATTGACGGTTCAACTGTCCAATTCAGTTTGATTTTTTACTCATTGGAGGAAACACATAAAATTTTAATGTTTTTATAAAATGGTTTTTAGAAGATATGTAAAATTGAATCGTATTTGGAGGAGTTAAATGGATCATGGACTAATAAAGTTAAATTCAACTTAGCGTAATTTTGTATACAATTATATGATGTTCAATATTATTGAGTTACATTTGAGGTTCAAGTTCTAATATAATTTTTTCTATTTTTAAAATTTGAATACTCAACCTCAATTAAGACAAAGAAGAATTAAGAGGATAGATCCCATGTGCATTCCCAAGTCCTAACTCCTAACTGAGATCAGGCCTGGGAAGATAGATCCCATGTTCATTGACCCTTTTTTTTTTAGCCGAACACGTTCATTGACCTTGACTCACCAGTTTTAGTATTTTAAAGCCTTGAAGGAGCTGCTCCGTACGATCCCCATATACATTACAAAATCTACAAAGAAAGATTACGATTAGGTCCCTATTAAAAAACTTATTTATACATAAGTCTAAAAAATTTATAAAAATATTATCAAATCCTATAAATAAAATGACACAAATTTCTTTAAGCTCACATACCTTTAACGAAGACCACACACAGTTGCATATTCAAACATCTCCTATTCTTATTGACCCACGTTAAATATTAATCCCCATAATATTTCCCTCTTCCATTTGTTTATCATTTTACAGAAGACCTGCGAAATTATGAAGAGTATCAAGTCCAGAAATATTATAACAATTCAACCCAACCAAGTCAACTACTTTATTATTCTATCGTCCAAGATATTCCCTGGTTTTACTGTGCCAATTGTACGTGAAACTTGCATGGATCCACAGTAAACTTGCAAACCGTCAATCACAAACTGCCATAAACCACTTGCTTAATTTAGAAATTACTAGAAAATGAATGATGGTCATATGAATATACATTAAATATATAAAAATGCACAATCAGTACTGTTCTGACGTCGACGTCGTAGAAATAGCCCGATTATAGGAAGAATATATAACACTGGACAAAACCTTTGAATATTAAACCTACCATAACCTCTTATAATTTTATTCTAACATGAAACATGAAGTACGTAGAGTCATCCCAATGACCTCCATCTATAAATAGGGCCACGAGACCATTGTACTTCCTACCACAAACACTAGATCAGCTGCTTCCTAAGTTATTGCTGTGTGTGTACGTACGTAGCCTCTTACACTGTTGAACCAAAATCCGTCATGGCTGTGCTTCAAAACCACCACCATGTTATTGTTGAATCCAGAGTTGGGATCATTGGGGCTGGTATCAGTGGGATTGCTGCAGCCAAACAGCTATCTTACTACAACCCAGTGGTGTTTGAGGCCACTGATTCTATTGGGGGTGTTTGGAAGCATTGTTCTTACAGTTCCACAAAGCTCCAAACACCTCGCTGTGACTTTGAATTCTCAGACTTCCCTTGGCCTCAAAGAGATAACTCTTCCTTTCCTTCCCACCTCGAGGTACTTGAATACTTGCACAGCTACGCCACACGCTTTGATGTGTTGAGGCTGGTCAGGTTCAATTCCAGGGTGGTAGAAATTCGCTATGATGGTGACCACACCAACAAATCTGAACTTGGCAGGCTACTCGGTGGCCGTCCTGTTTGGGAGATCGCTGTCCAAAATACTCAGCTCAAGACTCTTGAGGTCATATACATGTCAATTTCTTCTTCTAACCCAACTCATCACTTCAATAATATTTCATGCATTTGCTTGGTATATTTTGAGAAGTTGTCATGAACACAAATAAACTGATAAACAATGCTATTGATAACAGTGGTATGCTTTTGAGTTTTTGGTGGTGTGCGTTGGCAAATACGGAGACGTACCAAGGAAGGTAGAATACCCACCAAACAAAGGTCCAGAATCATTCAAAGGCGAAGTGTTGCATACAATGGACTACGCTAAGCTTGATAAACAAGCTGCTCAACAACTTCTCAGAGGAAAAAGAGTTGCTGTTGTCGGCTACAAGAAGTCTGCCATTGATTTAGCTATGGAGTGCGCAGAGGCAAACGCAGGTAATATATATATATATATATATTATCAGGTATTTGTAAACACAACATTATATTCTACGTAATGAGACTACAGGTACATCGAATATTTACCATCCCATGGTTGTTACGCTGAGTCGGAGAACAGAGTGGTCAAACCAAACAAATGTCATTACAGAATCATGTCATCACCTGACTTGTTGACCTTCTGTGTACCAAATTCTTTTGTTAAAAAAAAAAAAAAAAAACTCTGGACTCGGACTAATACTATTAAGTTTATAATATACTGCAATGCGATAACTGGTCTTCTATTATTTGTTGAAGGATGCGATGGGAAACCTTGCACGATGGTGATAAGGACAATGCATTGGACTGTTCCATCTTACTGGATTTGGGGATTGCCATTTTTCCTATTTTTTTCCACTAGGTCTTCTCAGTTTCTCCACGAAAGGCCTAATCAAAACTTGTTCAGAGCCCTTCTCTGTCTTCTCTCGTCCCCAATGGTACATTGTACTTTCAAATCCTCTCTTTTTACTTCAATTATATATTACAGAGCAGCCTAACATGGTGTGGTGTTTCTCCAAAATTGACAGAGAAAAGCGATTTCCAAGTTCATAGAATCATACTTGACTTGGAAGCTTCCTTTGAAAAAATATGGTCTCAAACCGGATCACCCATTCGTGGAGGACTACGCTTCATGCCAGATGGCGATCTTGCCTGAGAATTTCTTCTCTGAGGCAGACAAAGGAAAGATACAATTCAAGAAGGCTTCCAAGTGTTGGTTCTGGAGCGGAGGACTTGAATTTGAAGATGACACCAGATTGGAGGCCGACGTGGTGATTCTTGCCACCGGTTATGATAGCAAGAAGAAGCTTCAATCTCTACTTCCTGACCCATTTCGAAGCTTAATCGTGGACTCTTCAGGGATTATGCCCTTGTACAGGTAAGTAATCATTCAGATTAAAAAAGTCAAACAGTCATCAAATTTGTGAATATATGTTAATTTGATTGGGTTGAAATGAACAGGGGAACGATCCACCCGTTGATTCCTAACATGGCGTTTGTGGGGTATGTGGAAAGTGTGTCAAATCTTCAGACGGCAGAGTTAAGATGCAAGTGGCTGGCAAGACTAGCGGATGAGCAATTCAAGCTTCCGAGTGTGAGGAAGATGATAGAGCAGACGAGTGAGGAAATACAGGCGATGAAAAGAACCACTCGTTTCTATAAAAGACACTGCATTTCAACTTTCAGCATCAACCACAGTGATGAGATTTGCCAGGAGATGGGTTGGAGCAATTGGAGGAAGACCAATTGGTTCTCTGAAGCATTCAGCCCTTATACCAGCCAAGACTACTTTGGAATATAACGAATCTCATAGTTGTTTGTTGCTCATTATTTTTCAACACAAGAAATAAATGTAATTTGCATTTCTGAGATTATGGTTTGGTATTGTAATAAAACTGAATGCAGTTTCTTCAAATTTTCCAATTATTTTCACGTGGATAGGCTTGACTTCGTAGTAGTATATTATAGTAGTTTATTGCAATATCGTCACCAATGTTCTTGTCCCTGGAATCTGGATGCTTCGATGCTTAGCTTAGCTCCCTTCACAATTTCAATTTTCAAATTAGGCGGCTCATGAGTCAGGAGAACGAGTAATGTGAATGCTGAAACTTGAAAGTCTTCAACGTTAATGACTTTAAATGACCACCCCCTCATTTCCTTGGCATTTGACGAATTACATCCCAGACCCAGACTCAATCTGGAAACAAATTTAAAAAGATTTTTAAGAATCAAAATTATTTTTAAATAGCAATATTTTTTTGAATATAACTTTATGTCTAGTTTGATTCAAGCATCATCAAGTTTAATTCGAATAACTTTTTAAAAAGTATTTTTTTACATTCATATAGACTCAAACCCAAGAATTAAGTAATACTAGAATTAATACCTGGTGGTTTAGATAGAAATGATACTGTCTGACTTCCTGTCAAGTTTTAAGAAAATTATTATGGTTTAAAATTACTCACTCCTCTCATCCTTAATATAAAATAGGTTTTACAAATTTTGTTTAGTCATTAAAATATCACATCTCATAAAACTTGATAAAGTATTAGGTCTTGTTTGCTTATTAGAAAAGAATAAAATAAAATATATTAAAAAAATAAAAGTAAAAATAAGATGATCAAAGGATATGTGAGCATATTTATAATGAAGAAATATAATTTAGTTGAGAGGTTGGAAATTATGATTCATGAGATTTTTAAAGAGTCTAATGATTCTCACATTTATAATATATATTAATAAGTTTTATTATGTTTATCATGAGGAAAAGGTGATTTAGTTTATTTTTATTTTTATTTTTTTAATTCATTACATTACATTCTTTTTTAATAATCAAATGGGACCTTAATGAGTCATTTCAAAAAAAAAAAAATGCTCACATATACTAGTGGTTCATTTGAGGGGCATGGTTAACTTTAAAATTTAAAGTTAAAGTTAATAATTTTAATTAAGAGTAATTTGAAATTTCTATAGAAATTTTTTAAAAACATCCAGACTCTTAATTAATTAATTTTAATCATATTTCTTAATCAGCGTGATATGATTAAAAGTATTAAAAATAGGTGCTAAGTGGGTATTTCAAAGTATTTAAAACTAATATTTCTAAAATCTTGATGACGATTTTCTTAATTTTTTTTTAATAAATCCCATAAAATTCATCAACAACTTTAATCTCTTGCAACTTTTAGTACTTTCAGTCTATCCCTGAAATTTATATATTAAATGTAAATTTTATTTCCTGGCATTTGTCTTTCTTGCATTTTCAGTTTTTTTTTTCACAACCCTTCTTCTGACCGTCTTCTTTTGTCTCTGGCCGTGATGATTTAATGGTGTGGTCCTGGGGGAGTAATAAAGTGAGGTCTGTAATGAGATGACCGATCATAAATTCAGAACTATACCATCGATGCTTATCTCTTCTTTCATTTCTTTTCTCTCTCCTTTTTTCTTTTCATTTTCGGATCTTCCCAGTACTTTTAGCATAAAAAGATATTTTTTTTAACAAAAAGAGGGAATCACAATGAAAAAAAAAAAAACAATGTTCGTGTCATTTATTTGTGGCCTTGGCCTGCCCTTTTAGATATATTGCAAGCCTTATTTGTCCAAAAGAAGATGAAAATGGAATTACAGTGTCAAATCCCCTAGTCACTCCATTGGGGGAAAAAGCAAAAGGCACCGAAGGTTTGATTTAACAAAAAATAATCAATCCTTGTCACACTAACCACTCCTCATCCATACCTTCAATGTCTCCAATTTCTCCAATGTCCATGCTGTTTAAAAGTCAACAGAATACGAAACAGAAGGAATGTGAAAAGACGTAAAAACTTAGTATCAGCAAAAAACAAGTGCAAGCAGAACCAAAAAGTCATGCACTAAATGGACTTGTCCAGGAAGTTCACAAAGAAAAGCAATTTCAGAAAGAGGAGCTATTCTGGGTTTGTCAAGAAGATGCAGCTTTAACAAGAAAAGCTCGTAAGTTGTCTGACACAGAACTGTACACACTACCATCAAAATTCCACAGGGCCAAGCATCACAGTTTGACTGTAGGTGGAGAACCACTAGACTGGGAATTAAGACTTGCTTGAATTACACTAAATATAAGAACTATTTGAACATAAGATTCAAAGATGGATGGATGAATATTAATAGGGCGAAGTAAAAGAACAAATGCTCTGACTTGATTGCTCACTTGGGCTAGAAATGAAGTTTTAACTATTTCCACTTGAAATTGAAAAAAAAGAAAGAAATTCTCGTTAACCATGCTCTTTTCAAAGTTAGACTTATTAGGATATGTTTGACTTGAGAGGAGAGGAGGAATCTTAATAAAAAAGAAGGACATGTTTTAATATTACCTTATTTGATTCAGGAAGAAAGGAAAAAATAAATAATTATATACAAATGACTTTACTTTTATATTATTAAAATTATTTTTTAAACAAAATATAATTATACATGTTTTTAACATGTAATTATAAATATATAAAATAATTATCATTGTTAAATATATTATTAAAAATTTGCAATTGTTAAACTTGTTTAAAAGGATGAAGAGTAGCAAGTAAAAGAAGGAGCATTTCATTCATTATATAACAAAATAATACCCCTCCTCTCTCAACCCCCCAATTTTGAGGGGAGGGGTTGGGAAAATTTTAATAACATGCATTTTTTTAACTAAAAAAGCTAAATACAACGGTATTGTAGATCACTTATCAAATGATTTCACCGGAGCAAACTACGTTTTTCAAACAGCTTTTTACAAAAGTGGTTGAACATAAACAGACACCCACACCCCCAGCAATCCCAAACATGCTTCATGATATTGATACCTGATAACAACTTAAGAACATTGGACCCAGTAGAATAGCCTAACGGAGACACGTGCGTAAGATTTTCGTTTTGAAAAGCGACAGGTAGACATCAAATATCCCAAGAAAGAACAAAATTCACAGCAATTAACCAGGCAAAAATTATACAGAAGACGAGAGTTGAGACGCGGCACAATGTCTCTTTGCCATGTTACAAAGTCTCGAACAAACTACAAACTTTCTTCTTTTTCCCTAGCATGTGAGACCAAAAGAAAACTTGTGGTCGAACTTACCAAGGTAAGGTGGGATCTTGGGAGTAATCCTGTGAGCACTGTTCTAAGCAGCTTTCGTTTGCATTCAACCATGCTGGAAAGCCCATGACTTCCTCAAAAATATGATACGCATCATCTTCAGGCTTATCAGCAGTTGCTTCATGTTCCATGCCCTTAAAAAACTTAAACCACCACGCTGATGTGGCCAAATTCATAGTGTCATTCCATTCCATTTGATATTGCTCTCCTACTGATCTGATCTCTGCCATCTCCTCATCGTCCATGGCTGTATGCAGGCCCCCAGTAGCCTGGACTACAGCACTGGAATCAATTGCATCGACTATTGCAGCAGTCTCCTCTCCCTGTGATATTGCGGCCATAGGAGTTTCCTGATCAGTTGCAATGGATGGTGATGGAGAAGATGGTGATGGAGAAGAATATGAGTGTGATGATGTGCTGATGTTGTTAAGGTAAAGGGTAGCATTTAAATTGGTGAAATCATGAACATTGAGATTCAAGCCCAAAGCCTGATTTGGAAGCATGATATTGGGCGTCTCGGGCACAAGGGGCGGAGCAATTGGAGAAGCACTGGGGCAGGAATAAGAATTTGAAAACGATGGAAGAGGATGAGACAATGATGAATAAGAAAAAGCATCCATGTAATTCGAGAAATTAGTTGTGCATGATGGATATGATCCAGGATTTCTCCAAGACTTGACAATTACATCTTGCTCAAAACTTGGGTGCTGCAGAGGCTGGAGGGATACTGATGGCTGTTGCTGAGCTTCTTGCTTCTGTTGCTGCTGCTGTTCACTAGCTTGTTTCATAGCAGCTCTGTGAAATTTCAGGGCGGTGACAATCTCCCTCCTAGCCTCTGCCATATTCAAAAGCCTTTCCTGGTAAGGCCTACTCGTGTGCAGTCTCCTCCTGATTTGTTTTTTATGTTGTTGAGGCTGCGTGGGTTGTTTTGGCTGATGGGCATCTAAAACTCTGTCACGTTTGGTTAACTTTCGAGCTTGGGAAGTATCACCGGCAACAGTAAAATCTGGGTTTCTAGGGTTCATGGAGTCTTTTGTTCTTGAGGTAGTTAGCTGCTTCACTAGGTTACGGATGTAAGCACCAGAGAGATGAGGCTCTTCTTCAAGGCTACAGAGGTTATCTAATTCCATTCCCTCTGTCTGTTTCTTTCCTTAAAAACGATGGATTGCCCAACTCTATTATATGGTTTTTTTTTTTTTTTTTATCAGTCTGATGCAAACAGAATTGAGAGAGGAGATGAAGGGTTGGTGGAATCATGGGTTTTCTCCCATAATTCTGAGAGACAAAGTACACGAGGCAGAGGCAGATACAGAGAAGTCCTGGTCTTCTTGGATGGCCTCATGGGTGTTATAAATAGTTGGGGACAGTCTAGGGCTTTCAAAATTTTTGTTCTTTTCCTTGTTTTGGCAAACTACTTTTGTTACCATTTTTATTACCCGCTTTAAATGGATTCTTCTAGGCGATGGCCTCACTATGGTGTCTCCTTACACCTATAATACAAATCTTGCCTCTTCAGAGAAATCCCTTATTGGTTCGTTTCTTCAACAAGAAGCAATATACCATGCCACAAGGTCCTTCTAACCATTATTTTCAGCACAACAAATTGTATTCTCGACCACTGAATTGAAAGAAAAATACATATATCTAAACTTTCAAAGAGGAAATCACAAATCACACAAACATAACAAGTAAGAAATCAAACAGTATTGACCAAGTGGCAAGACTATCATAGGATTAATCATCAGCTGAGCAATACGAAATGTAAAACCAAGGGAATCAATCTATCTAAGAGGTTAAAATAACCAATAATGAAAAATAGAATTATAGGCAGAATAGGGCCAGAGTGATAAGTAATAACCTCTATATAAGACACACTATACAACAGCAGCCAAACAAATTCACTGTGCCTATATTAAGGGAAATTATGGTAAGGAAAAAAAATCATTTTCAGTTTTTGATATATCTAAGCTGAAAGGTGCAGGTGTAAGGATTTTCACCCACTATTTTCCTAAATTTTTCCATACAATTTCTTTTTTCATTCTATTTTTGTACACAATCATATGTGTTCCATGTATGTATACAACAGTACCATGTCTCCAGGAGATAATGGATTCAAGCAAGAAAAGCAGAAACCACAAAAGGAGCTTCTGCAAGAAACAAGTTGAACTTACGACTTGCTTATTCATTAACAAATTATAAATTTTCCAATCTGTGGTGCAAAAAAGTAACGCTCATGCAATCAATTCAAAAATACCATAAGCCAAAAAAAATTGTGCCCAGTTTCCTTACTGAATAAAAGAAGATGGGATTGAAATCGCAGCCTATAATTGTTACAACGTAAAGATATAACAGAAGAGACGATAAGGGCATTTATGGCATTGAACAATTATTGGCGTTTCAATTCAGCAGTACCTACCTGCAAGTACTATGGGACAAACCTTCCAAGACGTCAGCAAGAGCCTATAGAGAATGATAGAAGAATCTCCATGACTGTTAAACGTTGTCTTTTTTATTATGTATGCTAGTAAAACACCATTTTCCCTGTTTTAACAAGTTGAACAATATTTTGGAACGGTTCAAGGAACAGAGAACTTAGACCTTTTGAAATACAAGACAGAAACACTCCATACCCTCCTTTCCCTGCCTCTCCTGTGTCTCTCTAATCCAAGTACTAGCTCCTGCTTTCCCTCGTACGATTTTTAAGTTTCATTATTTACCTTAGAATGACAGAGAAACGGATTTTAAACTTTTAACCACTTCAACCAGTAACAATGGTCTAAAAGACAGGATGATCCCAAACAGACAGGAAAGCGCCATTATTACTATTATATGTATTATAGAAAAGGAAGGGAGAACACACACACACACACACACACGTATAGAAAAATAGTTACATTAAGTGTTAACAATCAAAACAAGAAAATACTTCTACACGGCATAGCTATCTGACACAAATTGTCTCATGGTTGAGTAGTCATTACTAAAACATGTCAAGAAAGATGAAGCATCAAAAGACCATGTAAAAGTATTCTGTCCCTGAGCTAAAACTAAAACTAAAATGAAAAAATAAAATAAAATTTCTCCCTCCTCACTTCCAAGTTCAAGCGAGTGATTACAGGAGGAACACACACCGGGAGGTGGGGACCACAGTATTATGATTAGCTATAGACTAACAGAAGAATTAGTTAAGAGATTGAAGCATCTAAACCTGATTATTTAAAAAGAATACCAGTTATTTAAATGCTTTTATTTCAGTACCGCTGATGCAAATTGATACCACATTAAAACCCACTTCTCCCCAGATTAATGATTCATGACATTAGTTTTTCAGAAAGTGCTATTGGTCCAGTCACCTGAGAGACGACTTCAAAATGTTAATGTCCTCTTAATGCAGCTTCTGAACTCCACTACATTGCGAAGCCATGACATTATGACTTATGACTAGGAGACAATGCAAGTCCAGCCCCTTCATACATCCTACACGATATCCTTGTATAATATAGCTTGCTGATCAAAAGATTTTTCTTTCGCTAAATTAGCGTGTCTGTTTGTTGTACGTTATGAAGCAATTCAATTTCAATATCTATATACCTCGTAGGAACCAAAAATTCACATCTACAATATTTCTCATCACACATTCCTACTTGGAGAAAAATCCGGATTTTAATATTTTACTAAAAAAATAGCTAATTTGATCTTCTGAGAGATGAAGAGTAAATCATTGATGAACCAAAAAAAGAACTATCTTTCATATGTGAGGAGGCCTGGAACAAAAATTATATTAAAAAAAAATAGTCAATAAGCTTAGCGAAACTTCCATTTTTCATTTCCTTGTCTTTTCCTACAAGATGTTCGCATTGATATCCCAACATTTACCGCGGTAAGTCTTCCGGCAAAGATGTGATTATGCCAACAATCTTTTTGACAAGATAAAGTTCAAACATGGGGTTGAGGTTGAATAAAAGAGTAGAAAAGTTTAGAAGAAGAATACTAAAACAGCAGCAAAATAAGTAATAAAAAGAGATAAGAATGGAAAGGGAGTGGAGAGAGGGAGAGAAACAGGCCTCTTGTGGTTGAGTAAGCAGAGGATAACATCAAAGATGGACGGATATTATGGGCTTTCTCCTTCTCTCTGTGGTGTGAGAAAAAACCAAAGCAAAGCAGCCAAGTTGAGCCAATGGGAGAAGCAGCAGGTGCAGTTGCCCCTTTCAGATAAAATTTTAATTAAAGGAGGAAAAGAAGCCGCTTTTGGCGAATCGCGGACGCCCACATTCATCCACTTGCGCTCTGATTGCTTCTCTTCTCTGTTTCAGTCTAAGCCAAACCACGAAGGCATGAATCCGTCCCCTTTACATGCACCCGAAGATAACCCTAATCATCCCTCCCACCATTTACTTGGGCCTGATTTCTCCGTCTCTGTCACTCGCTATCCGTTTGCTTGCCATAAATCAGTGCAATGGCAGTGATTATTGAATAACCTCATTAACTAGCATTCATCCACGAAGCCCCTCATATGCTGTGAAGTGAACCCCACACCCATGGTGCAATAACCTCCCTGCATCTTGTGTCCTTTTCGTATGGTAACGGCGCGGAAAATTACAATTATATATTATTTAAAATCATTAATTAATATGAATTTTTGTTAGAAAAAGTAAAAAAAAAATCATCAAAATATACAACAATTAAATATTATAAAATATGATAATTATTATTTAATCTTTAAAAACATATCTGATATTTTAATTTTTAATGAATTTACATATTTATTTTCAATGATTATTATACAAACATAATTACTTTGATTATAGTATTGACAAAAATAAAATAGAAAATAACTAGTATTTCCTTTCTACAAATTTATGATTTATGGATGAATTAGAAAATTACTATTTTTTTAAAAAAATGTTGTCTTGGTTGCACTTGATAAATAATTTTAATAATAAGTTATTCCCTCCGTTTAAGAATGTAAAATATTTTTAACCGAATCTCGTCCCTAGTGGAGTAGTTACATACTTCTAAATTAATCTTATCTTTCCATATTTACTTCTATTAAATATCTTATAATAAATATAAAGTCATTCATCAATAGAGATATTTTTTAAAAAAGATAATAATTATACCTTAAAAGATTAAAAATGTCTTATATTTTTAAACATTTAACTCATCAAAAAATACTTTATATTTTTTAATTAGAGGAGTATATCCATCAAGTTATATTATTATTGTTCATGAGTTATTAACTCCGTATGAAAATTATATAATAAATAGTGAGCAATGATTTACAATCTACACACATTTATAATTTTAACAATTCACACATATTTTTGTGCTAAGTGCAGGAGAAGATCCATGCCAATTATGATAGATTGAATTGTTGATATCCTTCAAGAAGTGCTCTTTTTTTTTAATTAGTAATATAATTATAAACAACAACAAAACTAATTCAATGAAACCTATACAGGAATAAACTTCATAGCCCTGTTCAAGGCACTGATCAAGGTCCTCAATAAAATTTCTGGCCAAATTAAAAAAGGTCCTTGATAAAATTGAAGGAGCAGAGATTTATAGGACATCAGGAATTGCGTAAATGCATATCGGTCAAGAAGGCTGTAATAAAACAAAGCATCCTCCTAATCTCTTTAATGGTCATTGGAAAATTTTAATACTATTGCAAGGATACAAGGAACCTTCCTTTATGTCTTCATGACATGTACATTAACACTGCACTAGTAGGGATGGACGTTTGAGAATTAGGATCCATTATCCAATTCAGCTGTGCCTTCTTTTTCTTTTTTCTTTTTAAATATTTGATGTGATTAATGCGGTTATATAATTTAGATTACTTTTAAACTAATCAAATGTACCGAGTCCCGTTGATATTATGACCGAAAAATATAAATAAAAAAGAAGAGGGGGCATATTCCTTGTATCATTGGGAAAAGGGTCTCCCTCTTTTTTATCCTTTTTTTTTCAATCTTTATTATCGATTTTATTTTATTAAATTTATTTAAAAGTAAAAGAAGAGGGGGAAAAAAGGGAGGAGGCTCCTCTCTCATATCCACACCGCAGAGTGACGGACATGATGTGACCACTCATAATCAGACGGCTAATCTCTCTCCTGCCGAGACCGCTGACCCTGACCCTGCCACGTGGCCAAAGCCTCTGCACTCCAAGCACATTACAGAGTCCACGTGGGACGCTGCCACGTGACGACACTGAGGCAACAAGGGGAGGGGACTCTTCTTTTCCTCTCTCTTCCTTTTTTTTTTTTTTTTTTTTATCTTCACTTCTTCCATCTTCACCCTTTATTAATTTTATCTTTTAAAAAAATTATTTAATAAAATAATATAAAGAGCAAAGATAGAGGAAGTGAAGGCAGCAAGCCCCTCTCACCGCGTTATGTTGAAAGCAGGGTGGACTTCGACAAAAAAATCATTTTAAAAAAATATCTTTTTATTAAATATTGATTACAAAAATATTATAGTAATATAGTAAATATTAGTGATACTGATACTTGGAGTTGATTAAAAATTTAATATGTTGAGTCCAACCCACTTAAAAGCAGCTTTTTAAAAAATATTTTCTGTAATTAAAAAAAATATATGCTTGAAAAAAGGTTGTCCATGTGAAATAATGATTTATGGTATGCGGCAAAAACGGACACAAGTGACGCTAACGAGTTTTTTTTTTATTATTGTTGTTGTTGTCATGAGCAGATGCAATTATCTAATTTTGGTCGAAATTAACCCGTTTAAAGAAGACCATAAACTAACCAAACTGCATGTGGTTCAGGAAAGGCAAGATGAACATATATCATTCATATTGTGCGATGAATGCGTGATAGATAGACAATAAAATCGCAGGCAGAGGAGGGGTCCTCAATTCCCCATCAATATCGTGGTCTCCACTCGAGAGCTATAGGAACTCAACTAAGCATTCATGACTCATGAATATACATTTTAGGAAATATAAATTTTATATAAAGTACTTGTTTAATGTGAAAATGTAAAAAAAAATAAAATGAAAACAGGTGTTTTTCATAACAGAAGGTCTGATTGATTCACAAGTGTGGGGGGAAGGTGGGTAAGATGAAAAATTAATGAAAGCAAATTAAAAGAGGAGTGATACACACTTGGCCTGGCCTGCAAAATGAAAGGTCACTTTCGGCTATAAAAATGGGGATGGGGGGTGGTGAGGCAGGTGGGACCATTCTCCAAGTATTAATCTGCCACCAACACTACCAGCTTTCCTCTGCTGCTGCGAAGTAATTCTAAACAATGACACCTTCAAGCTGGTGAGATTGAACTTGCTAGAGAGAGAGGGGCTTTCTGGAATCTGATCCAACCATACCCGCCTCCTTTCTTTAACTCTGGTCTTGATCTTCAAGGCCAACTTGCCACCAATCAAACCCAGTCCTTCATGTGACGTTTCAGGATCAGCACTATACCTTCATTCTCCCACCTCCTGCGTACCGTTTTCAATATCATTCACTTCTCCATCGTCTCCTTTTTATGTTTTGGTTCGCTGAATCTCCCTGCAACGGCTCCACTTCTGTCACGATTATTTTACCAGTGACAAATTACATTACTTATCACAATTTTCATTTTGGTCAACCGCCCTTTATTGATATTATTTCACGTGTTACGACGAAACTAACGGCCGGTTGTGTGCATGTGAACAGCCCCCCACTCTAAAATATTGTCTGTGAAGGGTATGGGCAAATTAGCATGGCATAAACAGCAGCCCCAAAAGAGAAATCCCTTGCCAAACCTAGGGTGGTCCAAGGAAGATGCCTTCAAGTCTGACTTTCGTATTACTTGTACCTTTACATTAATGTGTTGGGTGTTCCGTGTTCGCCAGGTTTTCATTTACTCATTCAAGTTTTTTTTTTTTTTTCCAACAAACAAAAGAAGGTTCTCTTTTCGTTTACATTAATTACGAACACAACAAAAATACGGACTGCATAATAATGCGCAAGCAGTATTAGTGTTTATCAATTCAACTTGGCATGCAGAGGCTAATGGACCGGATTGCATGAACGAGCCATCACACAATCATTTAAAGCTGTCTACTCTTTTTCCCACTCTTGTATAGAGGCGAGTCCATGGCTAGTCATGTTAAGACGATGAATGAGACTAAATTATACGTCCACTACGACCGCAAATGTGATACTCGTTTTTATCTTCAAATTTGTATGCACAGCATGGAAACCTGTAATGTTTGGATATTAGTTTCCCATGAATGCTATCCCGTTTCTGAAATATACGAGTTTCCCCTGTCACTTCAACTCTCGAAACGCCTGAACCAGTCACTTATAGTTCTAGCAAGCATTTTAGTTTCATTCAAAGAAAGAGACTTGAGGCGTTGAGCAATAGCATCTGCTGGAGTATACAAGTCGCCCACTTGCCATTTCGGATCCTGATCACCCGGCAACCAGAGTCAGTCATGAAACGAGGAAGCAAAGACCAGATTAGATAAATTCTAAGAAATCCATGGTCATGTCATAAATTCACAGCATATGTCCATTTAGCCAACAAAAGATTGTGAGGAGACTGTGCCGCCAATAACTAGAATAACAAAAGAAATGAAACTCCTAAAAATCATGTCTTTTTCTTCCATAAAAATGTTTAAAAAAACGTAAATTGATAGAACTTTTTTCTTTTGATTCTACCTTTTAGAGGCAACTTATTCTTAAAGCTTGCTTTACAAAAATCTATAGAGATGCTTCAACGTGAAGAAAGTCTCTGTTATGATAAACCAAAAGGATGCAGATCCCACCAAGAAGGAAGAGTTTCACTGCAATGGGAAAAAGTTTCGTATTGGGAGGAGGGCATAACGAACTTTTACCTGTATGCAGGGCGTGATGTGGTTACCACTTAATTGTACTTTTTCTAGTGTACCACCCAAAGAATCCACACGGGGCTTCAATGTTTCTTCAAGTATATCGGTCTCATCAATTGTGTCAGAACTGAATTTCACCTGGAAAGATGAAGAGATACACATCAAATATCTTATAAAGACATTTAACTCTTAAAAGAGTCCTAAGATACAAGGCAACATACGAACCAGCAATGTGTGTTCAACACTGTATGAACTTTTGAAGCAATCACGGTTTTCAGATGGAGTTGGCCTAAACTCTGACACCCCTTGTGTTACCTGACAGAGATATATCATCATACTCTAGTTGAAACTCCAAGATGTTTATAAATCAACGTCAAATTGGCTGTCATCATTCATTTATATACAAGGGAAAATAAGCGTCCACAAGAAGCATAGTTATCGAGAATTAACTCATTAAGGATGGTTGCAGTATTCTATGAGCGTGCGGACAGTACGGGAACAACATATGTAGGTACTGAAATCAATCACATAACTTTAACATAATCTCCCCAACATTGTATGAACTCTTGAAGCAATCACGGTTTTCAGATGGAGTTGGCCTAAACTCTGATACCCCTTGGGTTACCGGACAGAGATATATCATCATACTCTAGTTGAAACTCCAAGATGTTTATAAATCAACGTCAAATTGGTAGTCATCATTCATTTATATACAAGGGAAAATAAGCGTCCACAAGAAGCATAGTTATCGAGAATTAACTCATTAAGGATGGTTGCAGTATTCTATGAGCGTGCGGACAGTACCGGAACAACATATGTAGGTACTGAAATCAATCACATTACTTTAACATAATCTCCAAGATCTGAACTTAACACACATGACACACCTCATTCATTACTGATGGCAACTGATCAACAAATTTAGTCAATGAAGTTAGAACTTCCCGCTCAGTTTCCTGTACAATTGATCCAACAGCATCCAGCATCGTCTTCCATGCATCTCCTGCATATATTTCAAGGGATACAAGGATAATTATCAGACGTACACAAGTTCAATACACATGCATGCATGCATGTGCGTGCACGCAATTATTATAAAAGATGGAGAACAATTTCGGGTTCAACAGAGTGCTGATGATTTTTGTCCTAATCAAGGAACTGGAGGAGGAAATGGAATGACTCAGCCACGTTTAACTGGTCAGAAGTTCCAGAGCAAGGAACCGGGCTGACCTTGACTAGTTTCTTTTAGCTTTGGCAACCCATGCCCCCATCTTAAGCAATGTGTAGGAATGTCAGCCCAGCCAACGAAGTGAGATAAATCCATCCCCTGACAGACTTAATCAACGAAGAACTATTCTCAACAGCCTTAGAAGGCTGAAACCCACCCACTCCCTCAATGAAAACTTAAGGCCGCTAACTCTAGAGCCAACGACAACTTAAGGTATGCTATCATGGTCCAAAGACCTTCTATGTCCTTTTTAGAGCTTGGCAGGTTGTTGATCCAAGACTTCAAGTTTTCAAATTCCTGTCTTGCTAGTTTCCATGGCACTTCAACCTTTCTCAGTGTGGGAGCAAATATGATTACAATATTGTACATACATTTCTAGATATTTTTCATCTCTTGTCAATCCAGGTAATGAGGGTTATTCCTGGTGTTAAATTTTAGTACTTAAAGTAATAAGATACAAGCTTTCAAGTTGAGAATATAAAGATTGCACAGTTACACTATGCTTCAGCAAATCATCATAAGCAAGCTAAGGAGCTACCTGTTGCACTTCTAGCCATTGCATATACAGGAGTTGCTTCCACAGCCGGCATCACCTGGCTGACTACAGGACCCAACTGCAGAGCACAAGAAAACTTTCAGGGCACAATTTAGACAAAGCAACTCAAAGTATAAAAGCCCAAATTTATCATAAATTTGATTGTAAATATTAGAAGGCCTTTGCACCACAGCTTCTCTATCAAATGGCCATATGATGTGAGTGCATGAAGCAATTTACAACAGTACATCTAATATAGGGAAACTATCAACTCCATTGTTGTCTTCATTGATTGTCCTTGACCAACTAAATATTCTTCTTCTTTTTTACAAGTGATCAACCAAATATCTATCCAGATTGCTTGTAAGTTCATAGTATGTTGACTGAGCTTTATAATGAGTACAAATGTCACACTCGTTGGTTATCAAATGGGGAATTAGATATGTTGAATTTACAAGCAAATATTAATATATGGCCTTAGAAAGAACAGAGTTTTTAAAATGATTAAAATATATATATATAAAGAACAGAGTCCCTTCAGGCGTTTTCCCAACATATCCATTTACAGTTTTTAAAATGCTTAAAATTATTTCCACTCCGACTCAATAAATTTGGGTAAAATCTCAAGAAGAATAACAGAATCTCAAAGAAGCCGGTCCAAATCAACAAATATCTCTAAAGAAAATAGTCGGTTCAGAAGTCAAATGTGAATCCACAGACAGAATACTATTTATGTTTAATAATGTAGACAATGTCTATGTCTTGTAAACCAAGCACCTACAATTATCTAACACTCAATAGAACTAATTCATTACAACAGCAATAATCTTTCATCCTACAAAGGAAGCATACAAAAACTCTTTGGTAAATTCAGCATTCGGCACTCAATAAGTATTAGTGTTAATACCTGCTCAAAGTAAGGAACTGCCTCTGTAGCCGGCCTGTTGTTGTATGAGATTATGACATTAGCCTTCCACAAAAGACATATACCTTTTCGTCATACTTCTTGAATTGCTATTGACTCTGAGCTATTTTGAAATAGATAGAACTTCACAATTTACGTTGTGCTTCCACAAAATATTGTATGTATACGATACTACTTTTCAGACAAAGCATGGAAATCATTTTATGCACAAAAAGATATAAAATGTGCTCATAGTGCTGCAGAAGGGGGGAACACCTTGGGTATCTTCTCAGAAAAATAGCTTCCAATAAGCAGCTGAAGAAGCGCACCGTTGCTACAAATTTAAGACAAGAAATAAATTATTTTCTTGCCACGGATTCAAATAAAATTGGCACTGAATAACTCACTTACCTGTGGCCAACAGAGAAAAGCGGAAGGTTTCCGAGCTGGGAAGGTGACAAATTGGCTTGAGGCAGACCAGAAGTCAGGATTGCATCCAAGCAAGCCTGGAACCTTTCATGCACTTGTTTGGCAGCTTGTGCATGGTCAAATGTCACATTATAAGGCACCAAAACAACAAGAAAACCTTCCTTTGCCAGATACTCAATTAAATAACTACAACAAGCAAATTAGGCAACAAAATCACCACGCCAATATCAAAACTGCAGCAGCTAGTAATAGCAATGCAGCTACGGTATAGTGGGCAAAAGATATACCCGTAAGTTACTTCAGGGACAGCGCCAATGAAAGCACCGCCTAAGAATTTGATGATGGCGCGAGGCTTGCCACGATTGAGTGTAGGCGGGATCACCAAACAGGAATCCAGCTTTAGTATCTTGTTATTGAATCTGATATTGCCATCTCTGCCTCTATACGCACTAGAAACCATCTTTGTTGCCGATGCCACCATTTTAGGACGTGGGGTATGAGACGGGGTGAGGATATGTAAGTATTTATCCGAAATCCCATGATGGTATCTTAATCTACTGGAGTTCGATAGACCCGCGGTCTTCTTTGAAGAGAATATACATCTGAAATCTGAGCCTGCGACGGAGGAAGAGGAAATGGCTAGCTCCATGACTGTGAGACCACTGGCGAGCTGACTAGTTTGAAACTCCGAATGTTCGAAGATGCAGTCCAGGAAATAAATGTTAAAGAATGAACGGATCTATTTCCATATTTTCCTAGTTTTTTTATTTGTCATTGCCCAAGGGATCAGATGGATGGATGGTTACTAATTACGAATTTTCAAGCTTTTATCAACAAAACAAAAAAGTTACGAATTTTCAAGGTCGCCAGAAAAAGGATTACCAATATACAGTGAGGCAAGCCTGGGGCTTGAAATTTTCTTGGTAGTTGTACTGTATGAGACAGACGCAAACATGTGTCCAGGATTTTGCCACGATTTGATTGAGGTCTCTGAGTCTCTCCCTCCTTTCGAGTTGCTGCTGGCGCTGCCCGAATCGACGTCCATTGGATCAGCGACTTCGCTGTTTTATTTTTAATTTTGAAATAAAATAAACTTAGAGGACTTTTTTATTTTATTTTTTGCTCAAGAAACTTTTAGCTACTGTTTGGTCCAATAAAGGGAAAGAGAAAAGAGGAAGGGATATTTTAACAGAGACGTAATGGGAGAGAAGGGTAGACATTTTAACGTAATCTTATTTGATTGATTTACGAGGGGAGGGTGAGGAAAATGAAAATACCTTAGACTATAACACACTTGCTATTGTATTTGGTTTTTTTACACTTTTTTAAAAATATAATAATTATATGTAATTAAACAAAAATATATATATATATATATATATTTCAGTCCACCCTGATTTATGTGTTTGGAGATTCTGCTGGATAAATAAATTATAGTATATGAGTAATATCTATATGAAGTCTCAGCTTATCTAAGTCCTGAGAAATTTGTTTTCATGAAAATTTGGAGAAAGAAAAATAACAAAAGAGTGTAAAGAAGGTGACGGTAAAACTTGACTGGAACGCAGGATGATGCTAATAGTAAAAAGTAAAAACTGAGATCACGATAACAATGGCAAGTTCTATACTCAATTTTGATAGCTATGGCAAAAATGAATCCATTGACTTTTTTTTTTTTGTGAAGTCTTTTTATAGTAATTTGGTAGGAATTTTTTATATTTTCTTTAGACAGATTGTTTTACATGGCAAAGTTGAAAAAAAAAAATATTCTTTTGGTAGATTGTTTGAACAATTATAATATTATTCTAATTATACTAAAATATATTTATATCATCCCTTCTAAACTCCCTTACTTTTGGAGGGAAAGAGAAGAAGGGGAGGTGAAAGAGTGGAAAATTCATTAAAATTTAAAAAAAAATATATATCTGTAGATCCTTACAATTTTACTTAATTTTATATTAGGTTTCTCTATTTTTTTTTATTTTCATTAAGTCCTCATAACTTGATCAATTAAATTTTTTAATTCTTCAATGTTAAAATCCTTAAATTTTTCTTTCAAGAAGATAAAATTAAAAACTTTTATATTTTTATTAAATGATTATAAAAATTTAGAATTAATTACATAATTTTTATAACTCAAATTTTATATAATTAGATTATCATCTAAATATTTGTATACATATAAAATTTTTATAAAAAATAAATAAAAATGTAAACAATGTATTAAATAAATTTTATTTTTTCTATTTTAGCTAAAAGTATTGAATTAATTTTTCTATAAACTACAAGAATATTTTTGTTTTGTGAAATTTAATACTCATTATTAATTTTAACCTTCAGAGGTTAACATATATAATAGATTAAATTACAAGAGCTTGATTAAAATAAAATAAATTGTAAGAACTTAATTTAAAATAGAGTGAAATTTTAAAGATTTACATATATTTTTTTTCTAAAAATTTTCTCCCCTTCTTTTTTTTTAAGATAAACAAGGAAAAAATAGCAAAATCCTAATCATTTCAATCAAACAAGAGATTAAAGACCTTGTTTATAAAAAATAAACTATCAATTATTAATATTCATTTAATATAGCATCAGAAAAACTAGCTGAACAATATACACATACGCACACAATTTATAAAAAAATTACGTCATAAATGAATTATTTGTAATATGTCTATCTCAAATTCAATAATTTTTTTTATCTTGTTTTAAATTTAATAATGGTGTATTTGAATTAATAGAGGTTTATTTTTAGATTTAGATTTGAATCAAATCCTACATTTGGGTATATGAAAAATTATAAACTTAGATTTGATTCAAATCTAAATTTATTTTTTATTAAATTTTTTTGTAATTTCAAATTCTTTATATACTTTAGTCATTTCTTATTATATGTTCTCTTCATATTTTCACTATTAATGTTTCTATGACTGTCATATACTCCTTCCGTTAAAAAATATAAGACATTTTTAACCAAATCTCATCCCTAATAAAGTAGTTACTTACTTTTTAATTAATCCTATCTTTTCATATTTACACTTATTAAATACTCTACAATAAATATAAAGTCATATCAATAGGGGTACTTTTGAAAAAAAGATAATGATTACACCTCGAAAGACTAAAAATGTCTTACATTATTTAGCATCTAACTCTTCAAAAAATATTTTATATTTTTGGATGAAGAAAGTATTTTTTTGCCTCTCATCCTCATCTCTTATAGATTGAAAAATAAAAATAAACTTATCATTTTTAATTTTTAATTTTCAATTTGAATTTCAACTCATATTTCTTCTTCGTTTGAAATTTTTTTAAACTACTCAAACAATAAATTTTAAATAAATGAATTTTAAGTGTAAAATTTGAAATAAAATATTTTTTAATGAAATTGTAACTATATATCACTCAAAGCCAAAGTGGCAGTAAAGAAAAATAGAACAACAAAAATTGAGAAAAAACAAATCCAAAACAGAAACTAAAACCAAAAAGAAGAAAGCCAGCCTAATCAGTATTACTAATCATATCATCATAACCCACCTCTTGAACGAAAAGGTGGGCGGTTAATCATAAGATATAAGAGAATGATCACATCTAAAAGCCTAATTGGCCATGAGCAACTTCTTTAATAGAGCTACGATCTATAAAACTAATCCTAGTGTCCCAATCCCTGTTAAGCATGTTCCTAACAGTAATAATTAAATCCATAAAGGGATGATCAAAACATAGGTTTCTAGTGATTAATTTGACAGTAAGAGCATTATTAGTGAAGACTTCGACATTAGCAATTTTTCTTTCCCAACAGAGCTCTAAACCAAAGAGGACGGCCTCATGCTCCCAGATTATTGGTGGTAGATTTATAGATTTTCCACCATAGCTAATAATCCATCTTCCCTCTTGAGTTTTTACAACTCTTCCATAAACACTTCCTTCCACAGGCTTGCTCATTCCCTTCATATAAAGACATCAGCAGTCTTTACCCTTATTATGTGGAGCTTTTTGACACAGCATCCCTCCTCTCTTGGGTTTATATCTATTTAAGAGGCTATTATCATGGTAGGCATGGTGGATAACTTTATTAGCATTAATCTTGTGGCCTTCATCCTCCCTTCTAAAAGCTACCTTGCTTTTCTCACACCAAATTTTCCAACACATCTAAAAAAAAAACTTTAGACCAAGTCAATTTATTCAATTTAGGCCTTCCAGCTTCCTTTTTGACATTCCATGCCACATATTATTTGTTGATCAAGCTAAAAACAATGATCCCAAAGTGATGGTTCAACAACCTACATCCATGTTGTATTACAAACAATAATCTTATATCAAGTGCATGATAAACTCCTCCTTTCTACATCCCAAAGGGCAACATGTAGATTCCACAAGCCCTCTCTCATGTTGAAGTTTAGTTTTATGTATTTTTCTATGAAGTAATAGCCATATATGATATTTTATTTTTTATTGAATTCTCCATCTTGAAATATCCTTCCAAACACTGCTGCTGTTGGCTTTTGTACCTACAAAAAGAAAAGGATATGCATTTTCAATAGAAAAATTGCCATTAGTGGATGGCTTCCAAGTGTATTTATCCTTTTCTCTCTTCATGCTTATAAACCCAGTACAGGTTATAGTATTCACCAAAAAGTTAATAAACTAGTGCACAACTTTCACAACATCTTAGTTGCCAAAAGGCTGGAGGTAGTCAAATGCCTTATCATTGACATTTATCTCTTCTCTTAAAGTTTGGAGTAAATCAATAAGAGGCACATTAAACTTAGACCAAATATCAAACCAGAAATAAGTTTTTACCTTATTGACTAACTTCCTAGATAAACGATCTTTGAACTTGTCCCAAATAGCACATATACCACTATGAGTCAAGGAAGAGTTGGCCTTTTTATTTACTCTAAAAAGATCGTTAGTTCCACACTTGTATTTCCCCTTGAGTACTCTGACCCAAAGTGCATTCCTTTATGAAACCAAACTCCAATATAGCTTTAAGATAAAGGCTTCATTTTATAGACAAAGATCTTCAACTCCACGTTCATTTATACCTTTCATCACTTCTTTCCAAGATATGAGGTAGAGCTTTATACTTTTTCTTGTGTCCCTCCATAAGAAGTTTCTACTTATTTTCTCAATTTCCTCAATAAGATTATTAGGTAGCAACATAGTTTGCATAAAGTAGCTAGGTAGGGCAGAGATAATAGATTTTATAAGAGCTGTTTTACCTACCATAGTGAGAAATCTCTTCTTCCAACTTGACAGTCACTTCTGAGTTATTAAAAGGATAAGGGTGAATAAGTTGTGTGATGCCCTCTTATGGATCAAAGTATTCCTAAGTATTTTTTGAGGTCTCCCATCAGCCTCATGTAACATCCCATTTTTTTAATCGTCTGATTAATTAAACTTAATTAGGATAATTAAGTAAGTTAAGGTGATGTGTGGTTAAGGAGGTCTAATAATCATATTTAATTATATTTTAGCCTAAATTATGGGTTCGGTATTAAGGCGGGCCTAGGCATCATAAGGAGAAGAAAAATGAAAAGTGATGTTGCTGTGCCATATACCGTGACATGAAAATCATCCGCCATGATGCACAGATACTTTAGACATGAAGGAGGACCTCTCTGTGCTATGTACCATAGTGCATTGTGCATCTACTGTGGTGTATGACTATTTTCTGTAGATATCAGTTGCGAAAATAAGATAGAAAAAGAAAGAAGAGAAAAGAAAAAATGGAGAGACGCGCTAATACTCTACTAGGGTTTACTTATGGATGACATTGGGAGTATTTTGAAGGCTACAAATACCTAAGGTAAGTTTAACATTTATTAATTTCCCTATTTCTCCCACATTTATGAGTTTATGGTTAGGGTTAGATAGTGAAAGTGAATTTTCGGTCCCTATGGGTTATAGGTCCTGTAATACCCATAAATTTACAAACCGATTTTTCACAAATTATTAATTCAACAAATCA